GACCCCCCGCATTCCTGTCCAGCACGATGCTCTGAGCATTGCACTCACCCCTCCTGGGGTCTCCATCCTGGCTAGACCCAGCCCGGGCTAACTAAGTCATAATCCTCAAGGGGATGGCCCAGCATTTGTATTTTTAACAGCTCCCCAAGGTGATTCTGATGCATGGCCAGCATTAAGAACCCCTGATCTCATGAGCTCCTCTGCCCGGCCGCTGCGCCATGTTTCCTGTGTTCTCATGGGTCTGTCTGCACCGGCCGATTGAAGAAGCAGGCGTCTGACTCTGTGCATTAGTCCAGAGCTTGGCTAGTGTGAAGCCTTCACTGAACGTAGGTTTTCCCTTGACGTGCTGTCTGACATAGGCCAGCAAGACTGAGTGCCAGCCCCTGGGCCAAAGAATTCACTGAGGGAATGAAATGTGGCTTCCGGAAGCCTGTTGGGTGAGGAGAGCCTGGGGCATCACTTCACTGGCCAAGAAAAAAACAAGCCCTTCTTCGTTGCTCATGTATTTTCCAGAGGTAAGGTAATCATGCGAGAAACAAAGTATGGATCGGCAAAATGGCCAACCACAAATTCGAGAACCGAGTTCTAGAGGAATGTATTTACTATCCCTCATGTTCGGTTAGCCCCTACCGCTTGCGCCATGGACACAGTTGATTGCCCACCTGGCAACCTTTCCCCACATCTAGCTCCTAACAGAACCCCAATTAGGGTTGCCCCCCTCCCTTGAGGAAATTGGTTCCACCCTCAGCTCCTGGACCCTCTGTTTTGCCGAAGTCGGATTCCACTCCCTTGCTCAAGAAAGGACAAAGGCCCTGATATCATCGATGAGACACAGGAGTTGGTTTTCTTTCCAGCTTTCTGTTGAAGCATAAGAAACATACAAACACATCTTTATCGTTGTGTGTTGTAAGATGTTCACTTTCATTGCTGTATAATATTCCAGTATAGAACAAGCCAGATTTACCCATCCTACTGTTGACTGGCTGGTTTCCAGTTTAGGAGTATGATCAATCGTGCTGCTATGAACATTTTAGTACCTGTCTCTTGATGGACATCTGTATGCATTTCTGTAGGGCATACACCTAAGAAGAATCGCTGGGCCACAAGGAGTGTGTATGCTTGATTGAGAAGGTACAGTCCGGTTCCACAGTGAGCGTGCAAATTTGCCTTCCCGTCTGCAGGGAATGAAAGACATGTCCTTGTCTACACATATCTGTCTTCTTCATTGTTGCCTTTTTGGTGGGGGTATAGTGGAGATTCAAGAAGTCTTGTTGTGGGTCCAAGTTATTCCTTCTCTTTTAGAGAGCTAGAGAAAGTCGGCCAGTTCTCCGATGAATGTGAATGAGAAACAATAACCCAAATGTTTATTAGCAGTCAGGACAAAAAGGAAGAACTTAATGACATCATAACCTGCTGGCTCAACAACTCGATCCATTACCTTAGTGTTTTGGCTGGTGGCTTTGGCTTTTCTGTATCTGTATCTGAGAGCATCTTTAGTGTAAGCGTCATAAAGCACTTGAGTCTCACGACATGCTTGCTTCATTTTCCTGGAGTGAGAATTGATCCCCAGTGAAATTCGATACTCCCCCAAGGCTGGGGAGTTAGCAGGGGCAGAGTGGGGGCTGGAAGCCAGGGTTTCAGGTGCCCAGCCCATTGCTTTCTACCTACAAGGGGCGGCTCCCCTTCCCTAGCAGGCAATGCAACTGTCATCTCTCATTTTGTGAAAACGACTGTGAGTCCTTTGATCACATAGCTGCCGCTTCTCAGCAATGCCAAATGATGTAGCTAATATGCAAAGAGCCGTGCCAGCTAGCGGGGGAGGGAGGGCAACCATCTCTGGAAGGCAGAGCATTGGCAGCCGTGCGGTGCCGCTAGGAGGAATCGGCCACATGAGGCAAGTCCCCGGGCCTCCAGGGAAAAAAAGATGGGTGTGTTTTAGTCATCAATCACTAATGGAAAAATGAAAATGGTGAGAAGAGTAGGAGCAAAAATTGTAGTAGCAAGTTCGCCTTCCAGCCAGACAGATGCAGGAGCTGCAACTATCCGCTTCCCACCTAGGTGCCCAAGCGTGTGTCACTGAGCTCACAAAGCTACGACCCATGGATCGGCATGAACATTCGATGGAGCAGGGGATGGCTCCGTGGCCCAAACCTCTCCCCACTACAACATTCTCCGTGATTCAGCCTAACTGCTCCGCCAACAAGGCAGGGGGCAGAATTCATACTGTCCCCTTCCAACCACGGTGATTTTGTCTTCAGGAACTAACTTAAAAAATGAAGTTGTACCCCAGCTGGTTTGGCTCAGTGGTTAAAGTGTCGACCCAAGGACCAAAGGGTTCAATTCCCGGTCGAGAGCACATACCTGGGTGTTGTAGGTTCAATCCCTGACCCCTGGGATCAGTTTGGTCATGAGGGAGGCAACCAATCAATCACTGTGTCTCTCTCACATTGATGTTTCTCTCTCCCTCCCTCCCTCCCTCCCTCTCTTCCACTCTATCTAAAAATCAATGGAAAAATATCTTCAGGTGAGGATTAACAAAATAATCATAATCTTAATCATCATGAAGTTGCTCCTGGAGCAAAGATTCAAATGCTTGCTATGGGACGGGCAGCCAGACTGCTCATGTCACTTCCTCCTCCTTAAACCCATCCCTGGTCTCACACCTGTGCTCTCATCACACCCCTCAGCCTGGCCTTCAAGGCCTTTTACGACCTGGCCCTATCTATCTCTGGCCATTGGTCTCCAGGCACACTGGCCGACTGTTCCTTGAACATACCATGTTTTTATGGTCTTAGGGATTTTGTGCTTGTCCCTCCTCTTCTGGAGTTTTCCTCTCCAAGCTCACTGTCTAGTGAGCAACTCGTTTTTCATTTCTCAGTCAAGTGTCACCTTCTAAAAGAACCTTCCATGACCACCTTCTCTGAAGTAGAACCCCCATCTCCCTCGGTCCGTTATCTTCTTAGCATGCAGAGCAGTATGCAAGCACTTCTCATTATCCACAAGCCTCAGACAGCAGGTGCCCTGTCTGCCTTGCTCACCCAACACCTAGACAATAGCAGACCCACAGGAGACGCTCAATCACTGGGAGTGGAAGAAATGGGTGAATGAACCAAGGACAGTTCAGTTGTGGGTTAACCAGTTTGTCTTCTCCTCTGCTACCGCATTAAGACCGTTTTGATATTCAGTGGCTCCCAAGAAAATAAAATACAAGGAAATGATAGAGCAGGGGAAATTAGCAGGAAAGGAGATTGGAACATATCAAAAATAAGATTTGAAACTATATGTGGGTTGTTGGGTTTTTCTTATACAGTTCTTCTATACTGCAATAGAAGGATTTGGGGGTACATCCCAAACCATATGATCTCGGAATTACATTTTTATTTATTTATTTTTTTATCCTCACCCGAGGACATTTTTTTGATATTTTGCTCAGATAGAGTGGGAGGGAGAGAGAAAGAGAGAAACATCAATGCGAAAGGGACACATCGAGTGGTCGCCACCCACACGACCCAATCAGGGCCGGGGACAAACTGCAACCGAGGTACGTGCCCTTAGCGGGAACCGAACCGGGGTCTCTCCAGACCGCAGGCCGACGCTCCAACCGCTGAGCCAAACCGGCCAGGGCCATTTTTATTTTTTTATCCTCACCCGAGGACATGTTTCCATTTTTGATCAGGTAGAGTGGGAGAAAGAGAGAGAAAGAAACATCGACGTGAAAGGGACACATCGAGTGGCCGCCTCCTGCACGACCCCAACCGGGACAGGGGACAAACTGCAACCGAGGTACACGCCCTTAGCGGGAACCGAACCCAGGTCTCTCTGGACCTCAGACTGACGCTCTAAACGCTGAGCCAAACTGGCCAGGGCTCGGAATTACATTTTTAAAAAACCCTCCGTAATTGTGACACATACATTGTTCAATAGTAGATTGTGGAGGAGCCCCTGGGAAGCCAGGGGCTCTGGGAAGGATTTGGTGGGGAGTGTGATGCGTGTCCGCGAGCATGTACACCTGACTACCACCACCTCAGAGACGGACAGGCAACCACACCGGTCCTCCTTAAGCACAGAGCGAGCACACCGTGATTAGAGTCCTGACTTCCAGAAACCTTCTGGTTCAAGCTTCCCATTTTACAGACCAGGAAGCTTGAAGTGCAGAGTTAGCAGGCCACCTCCGAGTCACAGAACTAGTTAGCAACAAAATCAACCCAGACTCCAGGCTCCAGCTCCTGACAGGGCCCTTTCACCACAGGAGCACATCAGGGAAGTCGGGCCACTGGCAATGGGCACAACTTTCCCATCAGAACAGCCTCGCAGGGAGGAAGGGGCGGTGCCTGCACAACGGTCTGTAAGTGCCCCCAGCCCTCACTTTGGCTACGGGAGAGGGATACAGAGATGCACACAGACAAGCCCAAACCAACAGCTTCTGTGGGTGCTGACGGACGGCTTCCCACAGCACCCTCACCCAGGTGCTGCTCAGCCCCGAGGCCATAGCCCCGAACCCTGGGCAGCACCCCAACCTCAGAGATTTCCACTGAAGCCGGGGGTCTGAGGACCTCAGAGGAGAGGCCAAGGCCCTCTCTGCTCAGTGCCAGAGGGGGAGCGATCAGGTCCCCAAACCAGAACCCTGAGAGGCCTGAGGAGGAGGCAGCGGAGGGGGCGGGGAAATGACAGGAAGGAGGGAGAGAGGGGGGAGAGGGAGAGAGAGAGAGAGAGAGAGAGAGAGAGAGAGAGAGAGAAAGAAAGGAGCCAAACAGGGACCAAAGCCCAGTGAGTCCCTGTCTCCGATAGAAGAATCTCGGCTCAGGTTTCTAGGGAATGGGGAACAGCTCCTCCCCCCCTCCCCCGATCTGCCCTAGAGCCCCAGAATGCGGGCGCCCAGAGCCCAAACCCTCGGACCCCCCGCCTGTCCACCGCCCCACCCAGCCCTCCCCGGGCGGCAACCGCACCCAGCCCGGGAGCTCGGGTCCGCGAGCGGCCGAGCCGGCCCTGCGCCCCCCTACCTGTAGTAGCGGTCATCCCTGCCCGGCGCGAGGTCCGCCTGCAGCTCCCGGCACGCCTCCTGCAGCCGCTTGCACAGGTGCTTGAGCTCGCTGCAGAGCGGGGGCTCGAAGGCAGGGTACTCGGCGTCCATGCCCGCTCCGCCGCCCAGCCCAGCCGGCGACCCCCTCCCGCGGCGCCGCCCTGCGCAGAGCTTCCTTCGGGGCCGCGCTTCCCGCTCCGAGGACGGGGGCTGCCAGCGCGGGCGGGGCCGAGGGGGAGGGGGAGGGGGAGGGGAGGAGCAGCAGGGGCTGGAGCAGGTGGTGGGGAGGGCGCGGAGGAGAGCGAAGCCTGCGTGCTCGGGGAGCCGTGGAGAGGACGCCGGTGGGGGCTGGGAGGGGGCGAGGTCCGGGCCCCACCACGCAGCAGCCCGCAGAGGGGCCTAAGGGGCGGAGGGTGCCGCGCCCATCAGCCGCCGCCCAGGGAGTCGAGAGGGGGCGGTGGGGGACTCCAACACGAGCTCATCCGCTGCCCAGGACAAAAATATGAAGGGCCGTTCTCGCTGCTGCTCTGCTGGGGAGGAGGAGGAGCCGGCAGTGCGGCAGAGAGGGAAATGGGGCTTGAGGACCGACGGAGAGCCCTGTCTCCCAGGAAGGTCAGGGGCTGGAGCCGACCCCGCGCTCAGCACCGCGGACAGCTCCGGTCCCCCGCCCCCCCCCCCCCCGCCCCCCAGCCCCGGTTCCACTTGGCCTCAAGCTCATTATCATCATAATACTAATTTTTAACGACAAAAAAAAAAAAAGTGTCCAAATGTGATGTCTCTTCCACACGTTCTGTAGCCACCATCACAACAAAATCTGGGCAAAGCTCAACATCAGTGTGTAAAATAAAAACTAATAAATCAACACATATTTCAGGGATGACTTATCCAAAGATGATGTCGTCTCCTCTTGTGAATTTCCCCCCATGATAAGTGGGGAAACAGTTGTTCCAGGTGATGTCAGTGCATTTCCACCTGAACTCAGGGCAGGCTTCCATGCAAGACGGATTGTGTATGCATTGCAGGAATCTTTTACAATTACAAATACACATTTTGGGAGCCAAAACTTACACTATTAAATCTAAATTACATAATATGGATCTCTGGAACCTGCAGTTTTCAAAGCTCCCAGGCCAGTCTAATGATCATTCACATTTAGATAGCGTCAGATTTTCCACATTTTCTACTACCTTTACCTATGCTCTAATTTTACCCACTCTTCCTTGCTCTTTATTTTTATGGTCATATTTTCTTTCCTCCCTCCCCTTACATTTTTTTTTATCCTCACCTGAGGATTTTCTTTTTTTTTTCATTTATCTTCAGAGCAGGAGGGAGAGAGGGAGGAAGAGAGAGAAACATCGATGTGAGAGAGACACGTCGACTGGTCACCACCCACACAACCCCAACTGGGGCCAGGGATGAACCACAACCAAGGTACGTGCCCTTAGCAGGAACTGAACCCAGGACTCTCTGGTCTGCGGGCCGATGCTCTAACCAGCCAGGAACTTGTTCTAAAATGTAAGGGGAGCCCTGGCCGGTTTGGCTCAGCGGTTAGAGTTGGGGTTGTGTGGGTGGTAACCAGGCGACATGTCTCTCTCACATCGATGTTTCTCTCTCTCTCCTTCTTCCTTACTCTCTCTCTAAAATCAATATAGGAAAAAAATAAAAAATAAATAGAACAAGTTTTGCTTTGCTAGCCAAGCTCTCCTATCAGGCCTTGCAAATATTCCCATAACTTCCAATCATCCTGCACTGTGCAGGTTTTGGCCTTCATTCATTAACATGAGCATTTGTATTTAATCATCGCAGGAGGACAAAGAATGAAGCTCTGAATTGGCTATCTCAAAATACAGCGCAGAGAGGGGAACACTGAGAAGAGCCCCTTCACAAACACAGGTTGTTTTGTTTTCTATAATGAAACAGAGACAGTGAGACTAGCATATGTCGTATTTCAAGTAATTTATAATTGGCTACAGAGAGCTTATCATTAGGGGAAATATTAACCAACCTCAAAGATACCACAGCCCTGGCTGGGTGGCTCCAGTGGTTGAAGTGTCATCCTGTGCACCAAAAATGTTGCAGGTTCAATTTTTGGTCAAGGCACATACTTAGGTTGGGAGTTTGATCCTGGGTCGGGGTGCCTAATGGAAGCAACCGATGTTTCTCCCTCTCTCTCTCTTTCCCTTCCTCTGTCTCTAAAGTCACTAAACACATCCTCAGTTGAGTTAAAAAAAAAAAAAGCTACCACAGAATACTTAAAACCCCCCTGCTAAGCCTTCCCTACCTTTCCAGCCTAGGCTTTATTTTCCCCTTTAAAGTACAGTAGCCCCTGGAAGATAATGCAAGTCTTCTGGCTCCAGCATTGGGGGGTACTAAATCTACTTTCTTACCTCTTTCACTTAAAGAGATGTGCTAGGTAAATATCACACATACACATACACAATGACTGTGTAAATGTTATGCACAGCTGAGCCATGTACTATACTGTAATTACTTTTCTGTATATTTTATTTCCATTATAGTTATGACATATTATTTTTTTAATTATAAAACAATGTGTCCAAATGAGATCTCTTCCCACATGTTCTATACACACACACACACACACACACACACACACACGGTAACTTGTTTCTATCTCTACAAAAATGTAGGTTGATTTTAATTATGTCTCCTTTTGTTTGAAAAATGCCAAACCGCCCGGCCGGTGTGGCTCAGTGGTTGAGCATCGACCCATGCACCAAGAGGTCGGTGGTTTGATTCCCCATCAGGGCACATGCCCAGGTTGTGGGCCTGATCCCCAGTGTGGGGCATGCAGGAGGTGGCCAGTCGATGTTCTCTCTCATCGATGTTTCTCTCTCTTCCTCTCCCTTTCTCTCTCTCTAGAATCAATAAAGGAAAAAAATTTAAAAACAGAAAAATGCCAAACCAAGAAAGATTTAAATAGGTCAAATAAATGGGACCCTGAGAGCAATCTTGAAAGGCACAATTAAGTGACTAAATATTGGTGATATGAGATTTGTCCATTCAAATACCAATTTCCTAGAAAGAGAAAAGGAAGTGAAAGGTGGCAGACATTTCTTAAGTGAGGTGACCTTTTGATTTAGTCCTTGTCTCCTTCAGGTATCAATGTACCAGCCTCGTGGTGGGGGATGGGGAGGGGAATAGTGTTTCCTCTCTCTCTCTCTCTCTCTCTTTCTCTCTCTCTCTCTCTCGTTCTCTCCCTCCCTCCCTTTTTAATTTCTAGAAGTGTTTGTATAAGAGAGGAGGTAAAAGTGACTTGAAAGCTGATGGCAACAGAAAAAAATAAATCTTAAAAAGCAATAAATAAGAAAGTTGATGGCATTTACCAGTAAAATCATTTGGTTTGGATTTTTTTTTTTTTTGTAGGAAGATTTTAAAAAAATAATTATATTTCTAAATTTTTACCTGGCCAGTTTGGCCCAGCGGTTAGAGCGTCAGCCTGTGGTCTGGAGAAACCAGGGTTCAGTTCCCGCTAAGGGCACGTACCTTGGTTGCAGTTTGTCCCCAGCCCTAGTTGGTCATGCAGGTGGCAGCCACTCGATGTGTCCCTTTCACGTCAATGTTTCTCTCTCTCTCTCTCTCACACATACACACACACACTCTATCTGAACAGAGGATGGAAAAATGTCTTCGGGTGAGGATTAAAAAATAATAATAATTATTATATTTCTAAATTTTTAAATCTAATGTCATACAATTATTCAAAGTATTTATTCTTATTCTTTAAAAATCTATCTAAGCAATAAGACATGAGGAAAAAATAAAAGGGATCCAAATTGGAAAGGAGAAAATGAAACTGTCATTATTTGCAGATGACATGATATTATACATAGAAAACCCTAAAGACTCCATCAAAAATCTACTAGACTTAATAAATGAATTTGGCAAAGTAGCAGGATACAAAATTAACGTCAAGAAATCAACGGCATTCTTATACACCAATGATGAACTCACAGAAAGAGAAGCTGAAAAAACAGTCCCATTTACCATTGCGGCAAAAAAAATGAAGATACCTAGGAATAAACTTAACCAAAGAAGTAAAGGACCTACTTGCAGAAAACTACAGGACATTGAAAAAATAAATAGAGGAAGATATAAAAAGTGGAAGCACATACCTTGTTCATAGATTGGAAGAATTAACATCATTAAAATGTCCATACTACCCAAAGCAATCTATAGATTCAATGCAATCCCCATCAAAATACCAATGACATATTTCACAGAACTAGAACAAATAGTTCAAAAGTTCATATGGAACCAAAAAAGTCCCCGAATAGCCACAGCAATTTTGAAAAAGAAGGACAAAGTAGGTGGATCACAATACCAGATATCAGGTTATACTACAAAGCCACTGTAATCAAAACAGCCTGGTACTGGCACAAGAACAGGCATATAGACTAGTGGAACAGAACTGAGAACCCAGAAATGGACCCAAGACAATACGCTCAATTAATATTTGACAAAGGTGACAAGAGCATACAGTGGAGTAAAGACAGCCTCTTTAATAAATGGTGTTGGGAAAATTGGACAGCTACATGCAAGAAAATGAAACTAGACCATCAACTTATACCATACACAAAAATAAACTCAAAATGGATAAAAGCCTTTAATGTGACTCGTGAATCCATAAAAATTCTAGAAGAAAATGTAGGCATCAAAATTTCGGACATCATACGCAGCAAAATTTTTACTGATACATCACCTAAGGCAACAGAAACAGAGGGAAAAATGAACACATGGGACTACATCAAACTAAAAAGCTTCTGCACAGCAAAAGAAACAATCATCAAAATGGAAAGGCAACCCACTGTATGGGAGAACATCATTGTCAATGATATATCAGATAAGGGGTTAATTTCCAATATATATAGAGTACTCATACAACTCCACAAAAGGAAGACAAAGAACCCAATTAAAAAAATGGGCAGAGGAACTAAATAGACACCTCTCCAAACAGGACATACAAATGGCCAAGAGACATATGAAGAAATGCTCATCATCACTAATCATCAGAGAGATGCAAATTAAAACAGCAATGAGGTATCACCTCACACCTGTCAGAATGACCGCCATCAACAAATCATCAAACA